TGGCTCCAGGCTCTGTCCCTGCCCAGCTGCCACACTGACCCTCCCTCCCTCCCTTCCTCCTGCCAGGGCCGGTGCCTGTTTGCCAGCGGCAGCCCCTTCGAGCTGGTCACTCTGAGGGATGGGAGGACCTTCAAACCAGGCCAAGGAAACAACGCCTACATCTTCCCAGGTAATGAATGGAGCTGTCACCCTTGGGCTCCCTTGCTGCAGAGGCACATCAGTGAAGCAGCTTGCAGAGGTGCGGGTGACAGCATTTGAGGGCTTGGAGGAATGACTGGCTGGAGACAGACAATCAGTCCGGGCTGGATGTGGGGCACATGCATCCACAGGGAGCAAACCCAGCTGGATGTGGCTGAGAAAACAGAAGGGTGCTATTAAAGGCTTTGGGAGCTGCTGCTTGTTTGGGGAGGAAGGGAGAAAATAAATGTTAATACGCACTTGCAGTTATGTTAATAACTCTCAGAGTTAATAGTTCTTGAAGTTGTATCTGCACAAGTGGTGTAGAAAAGTAGCACTGAGGACGTTCCTGTGCCTTGCCCTTCCCTCCCTGAGCTGCAGGGCTCCAACCCTTCCAGAATCCACCTGCTGTGGCCGTGGCTGCACCCATGGGTGGCAGCAGTGAGTGTGGAGGGTGTCCCTGCCGAGGCATGGGGCTGGCACACGGTGACCTTCAACCCGAGCCACCCCATGGCTCTGCAAAGCTGCGGGAGGGTTTTCAGGGATTGCACTGGGATGAGTGGCAGCTCCTGGCAGCAGGCTTGCACGTTTTAAAGTGCACATTTACGGTGAAGTGTCCCTGAGTGGCAGTGGTTTCTTGCAGGCGTGGCTCTGGCTGTGATCCTCAGCAGCGTCAGGCACATCAGCGATAAGGTTTTCCTGGAGGCTGCCAAGGTAAGCCTGGGAGCAGAGCAGGGATGGCTTGATGGGCACTCCTCTCAAACCCTGGTTAAACCACAGTGGTTTCCTGTTTGGTTTCTGTTGGCTTGGCCCTCCACAGTGAGGGGAAAAAAAAAAAAGTGTTTTGACAAACAAAGTTGTTTTTTACCAAGTTACTGTGGCAGCAGGGCTGTCCCCTGCCCTGCCCTGCCCTGGGTTCTGCAGCTGGCGCTGTGGCCAGGGCTTTCTGTGGCTCTGGGATTCATCCCTCAAAGTACCAGAGCTGGTTTTGCTAAATGCTCACAGTCAGTGTGCTCAGTTCCTCAGATCCTGAATGCCTCACTGCAGGGCTTTGGGAGCACTCTGGTGCTAAGAGCACTGCAGCTTGGTTCTCTCAGGTGTTCTGGCACGTTATTAGTCACATTTAAAGTAAATAAAGTAAATAAAGTCACATTTAAAGTAAATAAAGTCACATTAGTAAATAAAAAGTGTTTGTTTCTCTGACTCAGGCATTGGCAGAGCAGTTGACAGATGAAGAGCTTGCACAAGGAAGACTTTATCCTCCGCTGTCCAATATCAGGGAAGTTTCTATTTATATTGCTGTCAAGGTGAGTATGAAATATAAAATTGCACTGCAGTAAAAGTGGTTTGTGTGTACATTAACCTGCTGAGTTGCACAGAGTGTGACCCTTGAATATGAGTTGCTTGGGCAGCACCTGGTTCTTTGTGCCTGCAATAAGAGAAATGCATAAAAGCGTTCCCTTTGTTGGATGCTTCAGCTTGGCAGCCACGATGGACCAAAATTGGTCCCCTCTGATTCCAGAAATTCAATTTTGAGATCCCAGCTAAGGTGTGTGGGGATGTACAGACACTGAGGTGCTGAGAAGACACAGGACTCTGTACGATTCACTGAGAATTAAACAAAAGCAGTTTATTGTGCTTCTAAACATTGTTTATATTTACTTTTCATCTTGGTCTNTTCCCAAAGGGATGGAGATGCCATTCCCAAAGGGATGGAGATCCCGTTCCCAAAGGGATGGAGATCCCGTTCCCAAAGGGATGGAGATCCCATTCCCAAAGGGATGGAGATCCCGTTCCTGTGTGCCAGGCCCTGAGCATCCCCTGCAGCTTGCCCTGTGGACATGGTGGGGTTTCCCTTCGATGCGAAGCCATTGCTTCTTTCCTGTTGGCAACAGGTAACCTGTCAGCTCACAGAGTTTTAAGTCCATTTCACTCTCTCTTTCGTCTTCTCCAGAATTAATTTTTTTTTTTCATGCATAGGATTTTAAGACACATAGATTCATGTTCAGTTTTCTTTCAGGTACAATTAATCCTTGAACTAATTGCAACTGCTAATCTTGCTGGCTAGTAAGGAACCAGTTTCCTTTTTTCATATTCTACTTAACACGATTTTTTTCTGTTTGCTGGTTTATTCAAAATATTTACTGGTCTTTATCTGTACAGAAAATTTTCTTAGACAGTATGCAAAGGGAAACAGGTGTCACCAGGATGCATTTTGTCATGTTACATAGCGTAAGTTAAAAAAATACATCACCTGAAGGACCACCAGTGTTGTAGCTTGTCACACAGCCCCCGTGACTCGCCCTCCAAATGATTTTGTCAAGGACTGTCTTCCATGTCTCCTTGGGCTATGCAGAGCCCTTCTGAGAGGATCAGGAGCTTGGCTGAGGTCAGTTTTCCAGGGTTTGTCCAATCCTTGCTTCCTTAAAAGCAGCAGGAGCAGGACTGAGCCTCTGGACAGCAGCCTCTGGAGTGTTTGGGGGAGAGTAAAGGTGTCTGATGAAGCACAGCCTTTCTTTGTGAAATACCTGTGGGTTTGTGCAAAGGTTTGTGTGCTCCTGAAGCCTCTGCCCAGCTGCCACCCTGACATGCAGAAGGAGACAATTAAAATGTAGTGTCTGATACATTTTAAACCCCCAGTGTGAGTTGTCGGTCACGTTTGTGGACGGTGATGCATCCTGATCTTGTTGTGTTTGTTTTCCAAGCTTCAAACCAAGTGACACTTTTTTACCTGCAGAGTGGTGTGTAACAGGTTTCCTGTGGTCGGTGCGCGTCTTCCTCTTGTACTGTTGTTTCCAGCACGCTGTTTTACGGGGATAAAGTAACTCTGTCACACTCCTCTGGTAGTACCTGCCAAGACGAACGATACACCTTTTAGTTTCTCGTTAGCAGCCCTCCCCTGCGTGGTGACTGTTCCTGTGGGAGAGTGGGGATCACTATTGTACAGCTCCCACCCAGGTTTCAGTTCAGCTGACTCCGGCCCCGGCAGTCCCGGCTGGTTTTGTTTGGCTGCAGAGGGGCACAGCTGAGCTCCTGTGCAGCGCTCAGATCAGTGTGAGAGCAGCTAGGGCTGGCTGCAGAGGGGCACAGCTGAGCTCCTGTGCAGTTCCACAGCGCTGAGCCCCTCTGCAGTTCCACAGCGTTGAGCCCCTCTGCCATCCCACAGCGCTGAGCTCCTCTGCAGTTCCACAGCGCTGAGCTCCTCTGCAGTTCCACAGAGCTGAGCTCTGCTGCCGTCCCACACAGCTGAGCTCCTGTGCAGTTCCACAGCGCTGAGCTCCTCTGCAGTTCCACAGCGCTGAGCTCCTCTGCCATCCCACAGCGCTGAGCTCCTCTGCAGTTCCACAGNCGGCATCTGGCACAGGGATGAGAGAGCCCTCCAAAATTAATTTGAACAATAACATTGTATTTCTAGCTTAGAGCCATCACCACACCGAGGAATTCATTTAATGGTATTTTAGCTACCTGCATTTGATGATAAACTGTAGCTCTCTCATCACTGCTGATATCCAGAATTACTTATTTCTGCCTTTAATAATCAGTCTTCTAATTGTCCTAGTGTTGTCACGCTGCATTAGCAGTGACATCAAGGGAGACCACTTGTCTAGAAAAAACAAAAGGGCAGTTAAAGACAACTTAGAGAGTCTGATGGGCCTTGTGTTTTGTTTAATGTTTAAAGATGCCCGTGTCCAGACATCCTTGTGGCATTGGGCTGCTGTTTCCTTGAGGAGCAGCAAGATGTACATGTGTGGGGTCTGCAGCAAAGTTTGCAGCTTTGTTTTCATCACTCCATGAAATCTGTTCTCAGGAAAAAATGTGAGCTAGTTCAAATTGTCCTTGGGAAGCCTGAAAATAATACTGATCACTTAATAGCTTTTAAAAACAAAGCCATGCTGTCAAAGAATAAATTTTATTGGGTAGAGGTAGGACCTGAAGTAATTTAAGCAAATCTTTTTTAAAGATTTTACTAGGAGATTTTAAGCAATGGACTGTAGAATGGTTTACCAAAGGATCTTTACTTAATTTTTTTAATTTTTTTCAAGCTTCTCTTTCATTTCAGCCAGCACCCCCTCAGGCACCTACAGCCTGATCTCTGCCTCCAAAATTGCGTTCACACAAAGAGCAGTGAACTTTGGGAAGGCGCTGCCTGCGTGGGGCAAAGAAGACTGATTATATAAACACAGAAAAGAGTGGTGTGGGGAAAAAACTGTGGTGTTCAAGCTGTGGTAAAGTGTTGTGTGTTGGGGGCTGGAAGTGCTTCACTGCTGAGTGCTGAGATGCACGTGGGCAGGAGCTTGCACTTGCAAGTGAATGTGCAAAAGACACCAACACACACACACACACACACAGAGACATAGGATGTTTTTACAAAGAGTGCTTTTTTCATCTATTTTTGCTATGCCTTGTTTGTATCGTATTTAAATTAGTGATCTTACTGAGGAAGAAATTATTTATTCAGTGTATGAATTGTTTTTTGCCTTCTGAAAGTCCAGCTCTCTCCGAAGCCTGTTGTACTGTGCCAGTGGAGTTGTGCACCACTGGATTCCGGAGTGCTGGGAACACACGGCTTCCTCCCTCCTGCCAGCAGCCAGGGAGGCAGACGAGTGACAAAAACACCCAAAATGCACCGATCCCATGTCCCTTCAGGCTGATTGTTTGTTCCCAAGGTTGGGGAGGCTGCAGGGCCCTGCATTGGGCAGGNGCAGTTTATTGTGCTTCTAAACATTGTTTATATTTACTTTTCATCTTGGTCTGCACAAGATGAGAATTTGTTTGATTGGTAGCTGTGCTTTGTCCGTGCATGGTTTGGTTGGTGGCTCTGTTTGTCCCTGCATTGTTTGATGGTAGCTCTGTTTGTCCATGCATGGTTTCAATGGTAACTCTGCTTTGCCCATGCATTGTTTGATGGTAGCTCTGCTTTATCCATGCATGGTTTCATTTGTAGCTCTGTTTGTCCATGCATGGTTTGATGGTAGCTCTGTTTGTCCATGCATGGTTTCAATGGTAACTCTGCTTTGCCCATGCATTGTTTGATGGGTAGCTGTGTTTGTCCATGCATTGTTTGGTTGGTGGCTCTGTTTGTCCATGCATGGTTTCATTGGTAACTCTGCTTTGTCCGTGCATTGTTTGATGGTAGCTCTGTTTGTCCATGCATGGTTTCATTGGTAACTCTGCTTTGCCCATGCATTGTTTGATGGTAGCTCTGTTTGTCAATGAATGCATGATTTCAATGGTAACTCTGCTTTGTCCATGCATTGTTTGGTTGGTAACTCTGCTTTGTCCATGCATGGTTTCATTGGTAGCTGTGTTTGTCCATGCATGGTTTGATGGTAACTCTGCTTGCCCAAGCATTGTTTGATGGTAGCTCTGTTTGTCCATGCATTGTTTGGTTGGTGTCTCTGTTTGTCCATGCATGGTTTCATTGGTAACTCTGCTTTGCCCAAGCATTGTTTCATTGGTAGCTCTGCTTTGTCCATGCATGGTTTCAATAGTAACTCTGCTTTGCCCAAGCATGGTTTGATGGTAACTCTGTTTGTCCATGCATGGTTTCATTGGTAGCTGTGTTTGTCCATGCATGGTTTCAATGGTACCTCTGCTGCTTTGCCCAAGCATTGTTTGATGGGTAGCTGTTTGTCCATGCATGGTTTGGTTGGTGGCTCTGTTTGTCCATGCATGGTTTCATTTGTAGCTCTGCTTTGCCCATCCGTGGTTTGATGGTAGCTCTGTTTGTCAATGAATGCATGGTTTCAATGGTAACTCTGCTTTGCCCATGCATTGTTTGATGGTAGCTCTGTTTGTCCATGCATTGTTTGTTGGTAGCTCTGTTTGTCCATGCATTGTTTGTTGGTAACTCTGCTTTCTCCATGCATGGTTTCAATGGTAACTCTGCTTTGCCCAAGCATTGTTTGATGGTAGCGCTGCTTTGCCCATGCATTGTTTGATGGGTAGCTCTGCTTTATCCATGCATGGTTTCATTGGTAACTCTGCTTTGCCCATGCAT